AAAGAAGAAAACACTTGCTGTGGCCTTCAACTCGAATTTAGATATATCGACGACGTTTTGTCAATTAACAATGGTTATTTCCATTCTTACGTCGATACGATATATCCCGATGAGCTTGAAATAAAAGATACCACGGAGTCTGACACATCTGTTTCATATTTGGATATTTTACTACAAAAAGACGTTAATGGTAATCTAACAACCAAGCTTTATGATAAACGTGATGACTTTAACTTTTCAATCGCCAACTTCCCTTACTTATGCAGCAATATACCTTCATCACCTGCATACGGGGTTTATAATTCTCAGTTGATTCGATACACAAGAGCATGCTCTACGTATGAACAATTTCTAAAACGACGTAAGCGATTGACAAACAAGTTGATAAAACAAGAATATCAGCAGTCTCGTTTAAAATTGTCATTTCGTAAGTTCTATGGTCGATACAATGACCTTGTCAGCAAATACAACTTATCATTAAGTCAAATGATGACTGACGTTTTTCATACTAATTGTTAGGCCATTATTTACAAACTGAATTGTCGACGGATTTTCCCGTTATTTCCCGATCATGCAAGGAGCGCACGGCGGGTGTGACCGGTCGGCAGGGGATGCTCACTCCACCATGGCACCTGATCCCACCTCTGATGTTTTAGAGGTCCGTTTTTGCTCTGCTCCAAAATTTGTATTGTTTAATGGACTTTTGAACATTTATACTGTTCGTTATCTCCATATATTTCATTACTCCTAAAGTTTAGTTAGACTTTGTCTTAATTTCTGAAGTAGAACTACTCAGGAGATATCATGGGGACAGACTAAGAATTTCTACATACTTCGGTCAGAACACATCAACGGGTCAACAAAGTTACGTTTATTGGTGAACAAAAATATATCACATAAAAAGATATTTTCAACCATCTAACCTTTGAACTTCGATAATCTTCAATGGGAGTATACAACCAATTCATTATTCCTGTGATGACGTCACAAGGGATCGTCTGCTTTAGAGTCTCTTTATCGTCACATTTCTGTAGAGCAGTATGGAGGTCCGTTACCAAACTGACAACTTTTGGAACAACAGACGGTAGACTGCGGGACCTTACATGGCCGATCTCACGACTGTAGCTGTGTACCCGTGTAGCTGAAACATTCAATTGACCAAACGAAAAATTGTCTTCTAAACTAAATTAAAGAGGTTGGGGCTAAAAAAGGTGACATTTTTTAAAGGAATGAAAAGAATGATTCCACCTTTTTAATGCTTCAAAACTGTCCTTTCCTCAGACAGGAAATTTCAACGTACTGTCCTTTCTGACATATTTCATTTATCAAATAAAATCTATAGTCATGTTTCCGATTTTATTTGATGAAATGAAGTATGCTAGAAAGGACAATACCATTCAGCATGTGTAGGAAAAAAAGACCTGAGGAACAAGAACTGCAGTGAATGACATCTCTATTTAAAAGAGCAAGTAAAAAATATGTAACCTACAACTACAGCAATGTATCGCACGACAAATAGGAATATAGTTAAGAAAAATAGATAGGGAATGTTGTTTAAACCTTAAATATTTATATATTATGAATGCAATGATTTCAAAATATTATCTATACCTTAATGTATTATCGTTAATTAACACCAGCTATTGTATATATTACCTATTACTATATTACTATATAGAAGTTTTTCAAGAAAGAACATTGGGGGGGGGGGGGGGTTCCAACAATTCTCCAATTGGTCATGCATCGTAAACAAAGGTGTATGATACAATTTGCAGTGAAGTTTTTACCATCTTTAAAAATTAACAAATTAAATAATCAAACTTTTTGGAGGTGTTTCAGAGAACTTTGCATAAGCAAAAGAAATTGGAAAGTTAAATATATTTCAGCATTTAGCGTATAAATGTTTTTGTTATTTTCATCTTCTTGCTTATTTTAAATAAAGTTTAGTATATAATTTTATGCATTTAATTCGAAAAAAATAATTGTTTTACAAAAGATCCAGCATCTGAACAGTAATATTTCATTAAATATGTATCTACCATTGAGAACATGGTCGAGTTGTGATAGAGCTTCAGACAATATGTCGCTGGCTTCTTTGGTGTTGGTAGCCATGGTCCCTGGACCTGACCTATAAAATTCCTAGAAAAAGGGCATGTAGGTTTTACGTAAACGAGATGCTTATATATATAGGTAATAAGTAGTCAACATTTAATATTCTTTGTTTCACAGCATTTTGAGGAGGATGTTCAGGAATCACACAAACACAATTTGATAAACTAGATTAGCAGAAAAAAGGATGTTATAATTTCTTTGATATTTGCGATACTAAGTACAAAGCATCCAGTTTTCTAACAAATTTTTGGAAGCTCTTAATACACATTTAATAGATAATTAGGACCGGAAATATTTTCTTAATTCAAGTATCATAGACAATTCTATAAAACAGCAGAAAGTATGCAAATCAACGACAAGGGGTTTCATTGTACAGTTCTTTTTAATTATTTTACAAATATCAATTATCAAGTAAAAAATTCTACAATATTCAATTTTATGAAAGGTGCACAAAAAGATATATAAATACTATTAGCACATCATGTAGCTTATTATCTCCCTATTCTCTTGAAAATCAGTTTTGTCCAATTTCTTCAATAGTCCTCAAATTAAAACTCAGAATATCTGTTTTCTCCATATAATGCATGCCATTCAGAGAATAAATAACAATATTAAAATCAGCAATAACGGTCACCGTAATGTTGGCTGTTGGTTGCAGTGCTCATTTGAATTCGATGTATAAGATTTTATATTCTTTCTTGGTACTTAAGAAAAAAACCCAAAGCTATTTATTGGATAACTATATTACTTTCAATTTTTACGAACAAACCTAAATGGTTGTTTCTTGTTAAAACTAAAATAAATAAGTGCATTTACTATACAAAAGTACTTACACTTAAGTTGTAGAACCCAGTATATATTCCGTGAAAGAAATGATAAACCGACCTAAAAACAGTGTAATCAGAAAAATTCTACTTTGATAAAAAAAATATTTTATTCTTAGATAGATGATTACTCTGCGAAAAGGGGCCAACAGAGGGGTAATACAAATCTTTGACAGGATAAGAAAAAGATAAGTACATATACCAGTCAAAAGCGTTTTATTGTGGAAGCCATTATTCTACACGAGGGGGTATCAGGGGGTATAATGTTATTACGAACAGACTAAATTTCGACCTGCATCAAACAATAGTCACTAATCAGTTGCTGGATCTTAAGGCGCCTCTTTTTTTCTAAATTTGATATTGAACCAGATCACCCTGTGTTTATATAATATCGTTTATCGGCAGTTTCACCTTTAGGACACTTCAAGGAGATACTCGCGGATGCTGCTCCCCATGGGGGCTTTTAATTATCAGCATCATCATATTTTAACAGGTTAGAGCTTCTTTAAATAAACACAGTTTCGAGTTGAAAAGTTACTGTACTCTCTTGCTTTGGAATACTAATAGGGAGTTCTAGCTTTTGATCATATAATTTTTAGAGGATCTCTAATTAATTTCAGTAGCTACGAAAATTGTTATATGTTGGCCTGATCCTAAACAACCCAAACAAACCATAAACGTAACACTATTACAAAAAATATAAAAGTATGCTTCATTATTGTATTATTAAGTTTTCTTATCAATTTTCGATGATGCTCTTATTTAAGTAGATATACAAAACTGTTTGTTAAACAGATAGAAAGTCTTGTCCATATAAGACATAGATCCAGAGGAAAGCAGTCTATTTATAATTATTAATTTATACAATGCCCACAAAAATGGTCTTTATATACATCTAATGAAATTGACATATGCTGCATGTTGATTTGTGTGTACGTGTTTGTGTGGAGGGGGTGTTAATGTTTGTTTCTCCTGATCGATTCTTTTTTTTTTAAATGCTTTAATTTGGCAAATTGTTCGTACTTTGGTTGAATGAACACAGAACGTACACGTGTACCCATAATCACTCCTTCCTTAAGAGAAATAAGTCTAGTTTCCTTTATGTTTATCAGATTATTCTCCCTTTCTGTGTTCCTTGAAGGATTTTCAATGACATCCACCAATAACATAGACTTGTACATTTTCTTCCGTCTCAGACAGAGAATTCAAGTTGTCCCACAGTTTGCAAAACTGTTGTCCCTCTTGTATTGTTGCCCGCCTCCAAGTGTTCCTTGGTGCGTTTTCGTGTCCGGTTCTGAACTTTATCCGTCAAAATGCATTACTTGGATGTCGCAAGTAATTTAAATTACAATATTCTTTTTTAAAAAATTGGTAAATATTGTAGTATTATGCTTGTGAAAGTCTAGTTACCAAACTGATATCGCTAAGTGTTATTACACGGGTTAAAACCTCCCTGGGATCCAAATTAATCTAATAAATGGTTTTACTGTCTATCGCTTCGGCAAAACGCATAGGTTGAATTGAATTCAAAAAACAGCAATTAAATTTTATGAAGATATTTAGTGGACAATAACTTCATTTGTCCAGAGTAGTTTGGCCCTTGACCTTGTGGCATAAAAATTTATAGAAGTTACCTAATTCTCAGAGAGTGAAAGTATGCCAAATTTGATGTCTGACATGTTATGGGTTCTCAAGATATTGAGCAGTCAATGTCTTATTTCCAGTTTGATGTTGACTTTTGACCTTGTGACCTCAAAATCAACAGGGGTCATCTACTAAGTACATGTACCAGTAACCAGAGTACAAATTTGATGTCTGTCAAACAAAGGGTTCTCAAGATATTGACCTGTCAATATCTTACTATGACCAGACTGACGGTTGACCTTATGTCCTCAAAATCGGTAGGGGTCATGTACTTCCCATGGGGTACCATCGTACCAAGTTTAATGTCTGTCAATCAAAAAGTTATCAAGATATTTACAGGACAACTGATCAAAAAGGTTCAGATTAAATAAAAAAATTATCAAATAGCACATTTTAACAGCAAAATTAAATTCTCGAAAATGCAGCTCATATTGCTTTAATATCATATCAATATAAAATAAAATACAAGTATATTACTATTTTTAGTTGAGCAATCTGTTTTTCACACAATTACACTTGGTCTACCGGCCGACTAACAGGTGCAATCAAATAATGCCCCCTTTTTCAAGGGGAGGCAATAAGAATTCATGCAAGTATGTGTCTTTGAACTTGTGTTTTTCCAAACATTTATTTCACATTTGAAATTCAAGTCAACACAAACAAATATTATTCTTTTATAGTGAATACATTTTTGTTTGATTCTTAAATCCCGACTGGAATCAATGCACTGGAGGCAATTCCACAGTTGTTTCCCCTATTTCGGCTCATTAATATGTATCCATTCATTCCCCATTCAGTTCCTACAACAAAAATATCAATGTCAGTCTAAGTACTGTCTTTTCTTATAGACATTCTGCTGCAGTTATGAGAAATTTTGATTTATTCTCGTACCAAATTCTTTTAAAAAATTAACCATAAACGCTTATAAATGATGCAATATTATCAATTATCTGGGGCGGATCCAAGATTTCAAGTCAAAGGAAGTGCAAATAAATACAGAAGCCTCTGAGATGACCGTTGATTTGTACTTATAAAGCAGCATCTTGACTTGAAACACTATTTCTATTTTCACATTTACATAATAATGTACGAGGGTCGTTTAATAAGTAATGCAAAAGGTCATCTAAAAAATAAAAGCTAGAAAAGCAGTTTCTTTATATTTTTAGTCCTTCAATGTATCCCCTGGTAAGTTTTACACAATAACTGAAATGGCTAAGCTCTGTAAACGTTCCGATGTTTTTTTTTCTACAGTTTGCAAAGAAATTTACTGTTAAAGTAAGCAAGGTAACTTCACTAACCTGAGAAGTTCAAAACTGTTAAAAATGGTCTCTGCCACTGCCAAGAAGGTGAAAATGAGGGGGTATGTGAAAACTGCGCTCCATTACAAATATCACATTGTCATTGTGACATATTTTTATTCTTAAAAAATCAAGAAAAAATGCGCCACAATTTTAGGTAAGTCAGGGAGTGGTATCTATCATTGTCTTTGAGCATCCCTAAAGAAGAGTACGCTGATGTGTTCTGGTCATGGGTACAGAGACTTAAGACATATGTGAAGATTTACTTTGAAGGATTAAAAATTTAAAGAAACTGCTTTTCGTGCATTTCTTATTTTTAGATGACATTTTGCATTACTTATTGAACGACCCTCTTAAAACCAAAACTACAGGAAGAATAGAGTTCTGAGAGAATTTCAAACATTTCTCTTTTTGGTAACCATGGCAACACCGTTCGCCGAAATTAAAAACCTAGGCCATATTTAAAAAATTGTTTGTTTGCCCTCTCCCGACCGACTGGCTGAAAATGGCCCGACTCAACACTTTTTTTATACCTCCAAAAAACGATTTTTTTTTTTCTTTTCATTCCTGAATGTTCTCATTCTGTCAACAAGTATGTTGAAAATTTCGGGGGGGGGGGGATTTTCCCACCCACCTACCGACCTATTTCTTTTTACCCTGAGTCGGGAGAGGGCAAACAAGCATTATTTTAACGATGGATCAATAAAATATAAGATAATATGGGTATTTTAGTATAATCTACTTGTGTAAAATGTTTTAATGAAATTAGACCACAGTTGTTTTGAAAGACTCTCAAAGAAAAATTTCTGTTTTTTTTTTTTTTTTTTTTTTTTTTTTTTGTATTCCTGGCAACAACGTTTTTCAAAATCAGAAACGGATAATAAAATTATATGTAACTTAGTGTATTAAACCTGTGACCAAGTTTTTATTGAAATCAGATCAGAACTGTAGGAAAATTGGCGATTTGAAAGAATTTCACAGAAATTTCTATTTTAGTAACCATGGCAACACAGTTCGTCGAAATCGAAAACCTATAAAACAGAATTGTGTATCTAAGAGTAGTCTACCTATGTTTAGATTTTATTGACATCGGAACAAATCTGTTGGAGCGGTAGCATATTGAAAGAATTTCACAGAAGTTTCTATTAGTAACCATGGCAAGAACCGATAAATAGAATTATGAAAGAAGTATAGTTTGTATAAGCAAGTTTTACAGAATTCGGAGGAGTAGCTTTTTGCAATAATTCACAGACATTCCATTTTAAGTACTAGTAACCGTTCGTCAAATCAAAAAATGATACACAAAATGATGTTTCTGAGTGAAGTCTACTTGCGTACTTGGTTTCATTGAAATCGGACCAAAACTGTTGGAGTAACATTTTCAAAAATTGACAGAAAGACAGCTAGACAGACGACGGACACCTTAACCAGTGCGGCTAAAGAAATGAACAGACCCCAAGAATTTTTCACAATCCAGAAGTCTTTTCCTCCTTGGGACCCATATCCCACAACCAGGACGGCATGATCTAGTCTCTGTGACGAGCAGGCCCTCTCGTAATAAATACCACTCCGATATAACTGGAACGAGGTGTGGCTGGCATCTATAGCAGCAAAAACAGGCTGCTTAAATACTGCCACCTTCATCGCCTCTTCGTCACCGTGCTTTACTGCTGTCACATCCGTGACCTTCAACAATTAAATAATTAATTCCTTCAGTGTACAGTCAAACCTCGGCTATCTGGATGCTTCATCATCCGGACAAAATTTATGAGGAACAGAATTTACTTTTATATTTACCAGTTATAAAAGATATTTTTCAGATATCCGGACGATTAATTTGCTCGGGAAAACAGGCGTTCAGATAAACGAAGATCGACTGTACATGTTATAAGAATTATTGATAAATGCATTGTAACAACAGTCCAACCTTAGCAACCGGTGTACATTTGCTGCTCTGACATGTTGAGGAGTCCGGGTAGCTGGCAGAATCACAGAGACCTCCAAGTTTTTTTACACACTCAAACTCCGATCCCACAATTGAGGTATTGCAACACTGCACCAGTTCATGAATGCTGAGTTCAACAAGTTGCCCAGTCTTAATGAAATGCATGCTTTCAATGCAGTCTAAGAAAAAATGTTTATAAATGATAACATCCTTGTTATTTTCTACACAAAATATATATACAATACTAGCATTATATGCATGAAGTCATCGAATTTGTAAGGAAATTTAATAATGTCAATTCAAAATTAATACAATTTGAAAGTGCATATAAAATATCAAAATTTCTTAAAAACATACTATTTAAGATATTCCTGAATATACATTGGACATGTATTTTCAGTATCAGCATAAGCTCAATAAGCCAATTTTTTAAGATTTCAACACTATTTGGAAAGAGTGTACATGCATAATCCTGTTCATTTTTTTTTAACTAGCTGCATGTGCAACTCAAACAACCAAAAAAAAGTTGACAGTGATACTGCAAGTTAAGATTTGCTTCATTGCTCTATATTTTATACATATCAATGGATGTGTAAAACTGAAAGGATTCTCTTTAAGAACTGCAAAAATGATCCAGCATGGGTTGTTTCTGTCGTAATTATTGAGATTACTTCTATTTTGCATGGCCTCGGTTTACAAACCTATAGTGGCGTAAGCTAAAGCGCTTCCAATTTGGCCCTGGTTCTTTACTGGAGACACGGCGCCTTTTTTACGCCAATCAAAAGAATCGGGGACGTCTCCAATAAATGGCGATGTCGAGGCAAGCGATGACAGTTTGTAATACAGCTTTTTTCTATTTCCAATATGAATCTTTAAAAAAAAAAGAATAAAGCTAAACTTTGTGAAATGTTTTAAAGAAAATACGTTTTAAATTTATGCATATATAATTCAAAACTGCACTGCTTGCATAACAACTCTTCAAAGTGATAAAAGTAATGTCAATTATTGTTTGGCATTCATGTCCGTAATTGCCCTCTACTAAATGAAAACTTCTAATATTATTGTACACTCTTTATATCAGAAATTACTTTATCACCTTACGGTTCATCGTCCCTCTGTACACTCAAATAAAAGTTTGCTTTAATGTCTATGATTTTCCAAAAGAAACCCAATCGCCACTCTCCGTGCAATAATTGAACAGTCAACACTTTATCTTTCAGAAGGCCTTTGACAGAGTTGACAGCAGAGTCATCTGGGTCCTACTCCAGCGCTATGGAATTCCACCCACCTCCATCAACGTCATACAGCCGTTGTATGCTGACACTTCGTGACAAGTCATATAGAACGGGAAGCTTTTGAGATTTGGGGGGTTTGAATCTTCCTAACTGCGGACGGGGTCATGCGGGAAACCACGAGCGATGGCAAGATAGGAGTCTTGCGGACCTTAACCCAGTGTCTGGAAGACCTTGCTGACAGCCTATGTCTGAAGTCCAAGAAATATAAACACATGCAGGTCAAGACAGACAGGCTGACCAAGGAAGAAGCAACGACAGGTCTTCGGGTCATCACTGACAAGACAGAAGCCATGTGACTCAACAACAGACAGTATTCACCAACATCAACTCCAACAAACTACAAACCTTCACAAACAGGTGTCTGTACCACATACTGAACATCAAGTGGTAAGGAAAAATAAGCAACAAGAACCTGTGGCAAGCAACAGATCAGGACTCGATCACTCAGCAAATATAGTCAAAGAAAGTGGTGGTGGCCACACCGTCAGAAAATCGACAGGAGACATAATACGACACGCGCTTGAGTGGAACCACCAGGGCGAACGTTGGGTCTGGCGTCCCAGAACAACCTGCCGAAGGTCATCAGACGGTGTGGTCAGAGCTGGGGGCAACTGGAAAAGGTTGCCAGGATCAGAGTGCGTTGGGAGACTGTTGCCGGAACCCAGAGCCAAAAGGAGCCATGATAATGAAAATTAGAATTATCTTAAATTCTTATCAGAGGATCAATAAACTTTAAAGCATTTAAAATTGTATCAAAATTATACTAAGTAAATTATACCGAGATGAAAAAGGAATTTGTTACTATACTTGGAACAAACTGCAAATGTGGTGCACAGGCTCGTAGTATGAAGGGGGCATCCTTTTTTCTGAGAAGTCTTTCGCTTTTAATTTTATAAGTTAATTTTCATTCAAAGGTCGTCCCCCCTTCTGTTAAGAATTTTTAGTTTTGTGAAATATTTTCGGGTTTGCGTGAGTGAAAACCGATAACAGCAAACTTTTTAATAACATTTGACAGGAATTTCATTCTTGATGAAAATTAATCCTCGGATTGGGGTGACATCACATGCATTCATCGCTTCCAACGTAAGAACACGTGTAACGTTTTCGTTTCCAAAAGCAATAAGTTTACTGATTAATCTGCTTGAAATTTTAATTTGTGAGCTAGACATAATAATCCTTTTTTTAAAGAATATTAGGGTTATTCAAAATCCTGAGTGTTTGAAACTTCGGATTCTAAACATTTTCCAAATCAATATTGACCTATAGACTGCATTTGAGAAAGTTTCTAACCTGATCTGCAAATTGGTTCACCTCCATTAAGAAGCCAGAAACATTGGCTTGGTTTCGACGATTCACTAAATCCAGGGATTTCTTCCATATTCCATACCTATAGGCTTCCTCGTTTGTACTTCTGTAGTGCTTCCGGTATTTCTGTTTCCATGATTGAAATTCGTTTGTGATACTTATAGCAAGAGGGGTAACAAGTGCCAAAATCAGGAAGAAATATTTCATCGTGTACCCTTAACAGGAGTTTCAGTGTGTTTTGATGATCTATATACTCGTGACCACATACATGTGATGTTTTAATGTAATGTTTGAAACAAAAATGAAACAAAAATAAAAGAAAAGTGAAATAAATAGATTTATATCAAAAATTAAAATTTATGTATTAAAAATAGAAATAAATGGGAAAAATGAGTTTGAACTTAGAAATACGTGCATTAACAAATTGTTTAATGTATTTGATCGAATTCTAAATGAGAGTTACCGCCCTTCCATTTGTCATCTTTAGGATAATTAAAAACTTAGCCGACAGATGTGTCTGTCATTATATATATTATGCGATTCTCATTTATTCCTATTAATGCTTCAAACCTGAATGCGCTGTAAAAATGTTTTGTCCTCGATATCGACAAAATCAGGAATAAAAGCTTTAGACATAGTTTTTTTTTTTTGATCCGCCTCTCGAACTATTTTTTCTTCGTAATATACTGATGTTTTTCGTTTTAGTGCCACATTATGTTATTGTTGGCTATTTTATAATCTAAAAACTTTAATTTTTTATAAATCTAAAATCAATTTTCAGTCGCCAACGAAATGACAGAATGTAAAAATTATACCACTATATTCCTTCGCCTTCCAAGGCGGAAGGACACATTTCTTGTGTACTGGCGCATGGGCCGAAATAGGGAAAACAAATGAAATAAGATTATGGTTTGGTAGTGTAAGTGAGAAAAAAAACGCATTCCTAGTTGGAAATATATTTTTTACAATGGTGTCCAGGAATGATTTAGATGCTATACAGGCAAAGTTGAAAATTTCTATTCAGAACCATCAGGTAAGCCATGTCAACTTTTTTTTGGCTATTTTGGTACTTTGCCGCACTTCGGAAAATATTATTAGAAAAATGTTTAAGTGCTTTCTATAAAACATTCGAAGAGTATTCTAAGTAGCCATATATTTATTTTTAATATATTTTATGTAATTTATTATGATTTCATAAGGAATATTGTTTAATCAAATAAATTCGTAGACTAGCTCTGTTGATAAATTCTCCACACTGATTGGCTAATATTCACATATTACACTTGTTAATAAATATAGCTTACCATGAATAAGCGACATGTATAATTTCAAGAACTTTGTAATAAATTTTAAAATTTAATGTTTTTTCCCCTCTCATGTCAATGTGTCAATAAATGTTACTTCCTTTGTTATTTACAGACTCTAGTCACGTCCATGAAAAATGAACCACAGGTGAGAGGGTCAAATGGATCCATTGTTTACTACATAGCACAACTGTTCACTTGCCTTTATTGATTTTTTGTTTGGAACATCACTGTACTCATAGAGCTTATATCAAATGAAAATCAATATCAGAGACATATTCCCTGAAAAATCCTAAGTTGAACTAGATTTTCCTTTAAATTTCCATTCAATTTATTCTTTTAATTAAATAACTTTAGTAAGTCTTTTACTGAAAGTGTAGGCCTGTATTGCATATGAAATATTACAGTAGTTTGTAATGTTTGCAAAATTTTCAAAAATTTATTTGAAAAGGAGTAAAGAGCCTTACTTTAATGTAATGTTAGTACAACTTGATGTTTCTTCTTTCTATTGTTTTTAATTTGGTAAATAATCTATGGACATTTATATATAATATATTCCTTTTCATGAAATCTGGTGTATCAGACCTTTTATCACTGGAGAAAAGGACCTGTCTGACAATATATACATTTATAGCTCTATTTAGGAAGATATATATGTATATACATTCTTGTTTGGTCCAATGCATTTTTTTTTACTTTTCTGTCACCTAAATTACTTTTTTTAATCTCCAATTTCTGAAGGACGACATTTTATACATTTTCACAGAGTGCAGAACTGAAGAAAAAGCTCCATGAATTACAGAAAGAAATTTTCATTCTGAGTGAGAAACAAGTGGGTATTTATTTTCAATTCAATAATAAAAAAGTTGAATTTGAATTTCTATCAATGCAGACAGTTCATCTGATAGTTAAGAAATTAACAGATGGTATTTTTAATTCTCTTTTCTTTGAAATTCATGTAACGCTTGATTTTCAGAGGGGCATAGTGCAGAGGCTGAGAACAGACATAGTAAATAGACAGCCAAACCAGCCAGCTCCAGCACCCAAAAAGTCCCAGGCCAAGTCCCAGGAATCTCCACCAGCTCAGATAATGCCCCGCCCAATTCAGCCCCGCCCAATCCAACCAGCCCCTCCCTTACAGCCTATTGTTCTGAGACAGCCTGTTCAGCCTATTCAGGTAGACAAACTTTCAAACAATACAATGAGTATGAGCTTAATGTAACCCCCCCCCCCCCCCAAAAAAAAAATCTATAATGTTCACCAGCATAAATATGCTATTTTTGATAATATATCAGTTTTTGATTCAGATTGACTTTAAAGTAAAATGAACTGTTTTGTAGCCTAAGCCCTTGATTGAAAATATTCCACCAAATCAAAGTACAGGAACTCGGGTGAGTACAGACTCAACCCAACAGAAACCAGGCTCACCTCCTATACGTGTACCGACTTATCACAGACCATCAATTCTTCAGGTAGGTCTATACAGGTATATTTTACAAAAGTGTATACACACACACATTCAGCCACTTTAAAGGAAATGATACAAATTAAACTAAAGTGAATATCTTTACACTAATATCATGCTTTATCGTTCAGAAATTTTAGGTTTTAGTATTTTGATCACATACTGTACGTATCTAAATGACATGTTTGAAGAAATGGTGAACAGTTAGCAAAATGTGTCAAATTAATCATGCAGGGAAGCAAGTCTCCCATCAGCAAAAGTCATCATATGACGTCATCATTTGTGAGAAAACCATCAGATTCAGACAATAAGGAGTTTACGAAACCAGCGGAGAAAAAACAGGTGTCCCAAGAGGAAAAAGAAGTAAGAACGTGTAAAAGAATTTAGAATGTTATTCTGTATGTAGGATAAGACTTTTCAATATGTTGTTCTCAACTGAGCTACAATCACACCATTTATGGATTTATTGCGGGTCACTTTTATTCTGTCACTGGTAATTTTTAAATAATATTTTTAGTATACCTGTATAGTTTTTTGTATTTCGTTGAACATTACAGAAAATGTCATTTATTGCTGCATTGGATTTGGTGACACAAGAGACGCTAAAAGGTGCGACAGAATTTAACGGTGTAATTTTGCATTGATTTAATAAGTATGACCAATGTTAAAGATTGTTTTCAAGTTTTAAAAGATTGACGAAGTAAAGGCAATATGCAGAGAGAAAGTTTCTCATAGTCGTGCAGATTTGAATGCAGAGTTATCTGTCTTTCTTCTACATAGAAATGCAAAACAGGAGATATGAGAGAAAGAGGCGGACCACTGCTAACCCTCTGTACAACTTTGAACCTGAGGTAATCTTTTATGAATTTTTAGGTCACCTTAATGCAGTCAAGAAAGCTTATGCTATTCCTTAATATGGCAAGGCAATGATAGAGCCTCTCATTTAACAGTTTTGGATTTGGACCATTTTGTTTAAAGTAACTATGTGGTCTCTGCTCCAAACTTTTATTTTTGTTGATGCAGTTAGGAATGCATTCTGCTAGACTTGCTTTGGAAACTGCATGTAATCAATATTTTCGAAATAGAATGTAAATGACCAGAATAAAGTTTTTTAGAGCAAGTATATTCCCATGTAACTATAGAACTCCTACAAATGAATGATGCATCATGACATGTACCGTATATACTTGCCTATAAGTCGAATCTGTGGGAGTTAGATTTTAGTCCAAAACTATGTCTGACTAATAGGTGAGTCTTAGAAACATTTTATTTTTCTAGACAGCAAAATGTAGTGTATTTTAAATAGCCCTGATGGTTATCATATGAACTTGAATTGTTGAGAATAGCAGATTAAATATCGGTGTCATTTCTCAACTGCCTGGTATTACAAAAAATACATTAGAGTACTGATATAAAATTGATTTGTTGAGAAATAAAGATTCAATATTGGTGTCATTTCCCAAAATTTTATTTGAAGCACAGGAATTAAAAAAACAGCCTTGATCTAAAATTTCCTACTGATTCTTGCAAAAACTTATACTGACTTATAAGAGGATCAATGGCAAATTCCTCCAAAATAATGAAAAAAAAAAATAAAATAAAATACAACCAACTTATAAGTGGACGATTTATGGGCGAGTATATACGGTACTGACATTCTGACAATCTTGTGATACACATTGACATCCTGCAATGTTAGTTGAAAGGCTTATAATGTTGAATATACTTTATATACAACACAGTTTATTGAACATTTATTTGGGATAAGACATTGCCTTACTTAAGAATAATTTTTGTCATGGTGAGCTTTGTATTCTTTGAATACTGATGTTGTTAAATATAGGTGAGTGTTTTATCCATTTTTGACTTCATCAGTTTTTAATTTCATAGAGAAAAAGGCCTCAGAGCTTAATGTTAACATCCATTTCAAATCCAACCAATGGGAAAAGGGGCAGAGGTATGTAAAGATGTATCAGGTTCTAGGGAATATTTTATCAGTAAAATGATGTCTTATTACTTTAAGTTTATTGTATCATTTGGATGCTTCATTATATAAAACTTACCTTTATGATAATCAACAAAAAACCTCAAACATGTTAAACATGTCTTGAAATTCAGACTTTAGTAGACAATACTAGAATGTTTGGCTTGATTGAGATATAAATCTTACCATTTTTCATTATTCCTAGGCCGCCCTCCAAAGTCACGGTCTCCAAACAGTGTTCCAGGAACTCCTGAAAGTAGTGATGGTCATAACACCAGTGGAATAGCCAGGCCTAATTGTGTAAGTTTTTAGTTTCTTTTTGCAAACAGTATCAAGGCTTATTATGGAAATAGTGATCCATTGATCAAAAGTAAAGTACATGTTCACGATAAGAAACCTTTTAAATTTCCCTTTCTCCATGAAATGAAAGTTTGTAAGAGCTGAAGGAAATCTGGTTTACAAGTGAGTGTATTACAAGCTGTATTTTCTTACAGGATGTTCATGATGACTTTTGTGCAGTATGTAACCAGTCTGGACAGCTCCTTTTGTGTGACACCTGTAGTAAAGTATTCCACCTTCAGTGTTTGGATCCACCCCTCAGTGAGATCCCTGATGGAAGATGGAGCTGTCAGAAGTGTCAGGTACATTGTAAATGTAAAACTTTGGTTCAGAGGGAAAACATGAAATCAGGGGACTTACTGGTAACAGTAGTTACAGGTAGTCTGAGAAAAACCTTTGGAGAACTGTCTTTACCCTATTAAGATCCCAGGGTGATTAGAAATGACTGAGTCCTCATGATTTACATGTATATAAGGAAAGATTAGTTTTGCTATGAAAATGTGCAAATGTGAAAATTAACTTTCCTGTAAAGTAAGATTTGTTAGATCCCTCTCAAGCATTTATAGGAGCTTGGGTGCTTACTTGGATGGATGTATTAAAATTTTACAGCAGAATCTTGCTCTGTGGCTGTTAAAAAGGAGTTAAGTACACATGTATTGTGAATTATCTGATACCTCAAGTTTTTAAATTGCTAAATATTGAATTACTGCTGCCTATATGGAATATGAATTTGCCAAAAGAATATTGTCTAATTAAATTCATTTTAGGTGAGTGGAAGAGCTGGATGGTCATCAAATGCTATAGCTCGAGTGAATAACTTCATCACAAATAAATCAGGTAATGAAATATTTATAAAGTCCAGACTTGAAAAGAATAAACAGAAAGACTTATCTTTTCTTTTAAATGTTGCATATCAAATAATTTTTCACATCACTTTTCTGTACATGTAATTCTCAAGTTGTATTTACAACTCATTTTCTTATGATACACAGTTCTGAAGCATCAATCAGTTTAAAGAAGGCATGTATATTTTGATGAACATGTAAAAAGAGGATGAGAAAAATCATCATTCTTTATTTGTATATTTTCCTAAATTGTAACAATTTCTGAGACATCAGTTATTTATTACATGTATTTCATTGTATTTTCATTAATGCACATAAATAATAATAGAGCATTGTCATACCTGTATCATACATGTATTTATAATCTTAATTGGAAATGTGTGAGGTTATTACCTAGGCTGTCTTATGTAAAGCATAGAATGGTTCAAACATTCAATGTGAGAGTTATTAGAATCAGTTATGCATACTTTTTTTTTTGAGTGGGGGGGGGGGGGGGGGGTATTGCATATGTTATGTAATGTAGAAGGGAATAAACATATAGGTACATTTTATTAAATCCTCTACTACCTTTTCTAATTTTAGCCAAAGAGGAAGAGAGAAGGAGGTTACAGAGAAGGAATAATGACTTGTTAAGTGAGAAGTCACAACTGGAAAACAAAAACAAACAATTCAATGACAACCTAGCGGTATGTGGACAGTATGGGAATTTAAAAGTTATTGAATTCTATTCAACATATTTTATTTATTATTAATATACCTGTTGAAGAAATAATGCAGTTACTATGGAATCATTTTAATTTGTGGGGGTCAATGTTCATGGGCAACCAAAATTCTATTAGTTCATGGGGATGTAATTTCGTGGGTAATTTGTTTGTACAGAAGATTCAGTATTCTCATATTTTGACAAAGTTATCTTTCATGGGGATGTTAATTCATGGGTAAGGATGACACGAAATTCATGAATCTTGGTCTCCCACAAACATTGGTGATTCCAAAGTATACATGTACTATTTTGTAGTTAATTTATGACTATTTGAAAAGTTAAAATATTCCCTAGTATTTTTGAATTTATCATATGTAAAAGTAAATACCAGTATATAGAAAAGGAGACTGATTTTATTTTCTTTCCATTTCAAGTAAATTTCCATAAAGATTTTAATACAAGAATATTGTTCATATAGAATTAAAAAAAAAACATATTCAATATATGTTGAAATTTACTTATGTTTGAATTGATAAAGTTTTAATTTTAAAGGTTCAAATGCAGAGACGGGACACTCTTTTAGAAAAGAGTAAGCTACATCAACAAAAAATTGAAAGTCTGAAGAATTTTATCAAACTTCTACAGAACTCGTAACCTGAATTCATTGGTAGTTTATTTGGTTCTTGGAACCATGAATTCATGCTGCAGGTCTGCATTTGGAGGCATTTTTTCATGTATTACAGTCATCTAGATAGAACTGACATTGCAATCAGTATTTTGTGGCAAGGCTGTGGAGAATGGAGAAACTGCACTGAGGGTATTTTTGATATATTGTGTATTTCGTAGAACATTTTTTAAATTGTTTTTTATATGGTGAAATCAATTTAATGAAATGGAACCAAAAAACTAAATGCAGAAAATTCAGTAGCATAATGTGAACAAGAAAGAAAAAAGACTATGTATGGAGATTATATACATAAACAGTTTATTACTTTTACAATTTTACACCTTTTTGTATATTCATCAGAGAAAGTTCATCAACAGTAACAATCATTGCAATTGTGAAATTTAATAAATAGGACAAAAAATTAGATAAGTTCTGTAATGTTGCGTTGTCTGAGTAAATAACCAAGTTATAATAGTAACTCTGTGTGGTGTACATTTTTTTTGTGTTGTTTGTATAGAACCCAACCATTATTGGCTGTCCTATCTTACCATTCAATCATGTTGTTGTTATGACTGATATATTTATGATTGCAGAATACTAAGTGAATAAGAACATTGTATGTGATACATTTATACCCATATGTGCAATTTGATATTGTGTTGCATGTTAATTTATTTAAAAAAAGGTTAATAATGATGAGGAATGAAAAATGTAATAAAAATGTACAGGAGTAAAATTATTCATACAAGTCTTTTTGTTATGCCCCCATAATCGAAGATTTTGGGGCATATAGTTTTTGCCCTGTCTGTCTGTTTGTCCGCAAAAACTTAAACATTAATTGCCCATAACTTTTGATTGGTTGGAGCTATGGCTTTCATATTTCACATGTTTATTCCATGTGACAAGACCTTTCTTTGGGTACCATCATATTTGATCTTTTGACCTTGACCTTGGAGTTTGACCAAGTTTTGCAAAATTTTACAAACTTTAACCATGGCCATAACTTTTAATCAGTTGATGCTACAGCTTTCATACTTCACATGTGTGATTCTTGTGACAAGACCTTCTTTGGATACCAACAACTTTGACCTTGACCTAGGAGTTTGACCTATTTTTGGAAAACTTTAACCTTGGCCATAAGTTTTGAACAGTTGGTGCTTTCATATTTCACACATATAATCCTTATGACAGGACCTTCCTTTGGATATCAACAACCTTGACCTTGGAGTTTGACCTACTTTAGAAAAAAACTTGGCCATAACTTTTGAACAGTTGGTGCTAGAGCTTTCATACTTCACGTGTATTCCTTGTGACAAGACCTTCCTGTGGATACCAATATTATAGCCTGATGACCTTGACCTTGACATACTTTTGGAAATCTTAACCTTGTCCATTACTTTTGAACAGTTGGTGCTAGTGCTTTCATACTTCACATATGTAATCCTTGTGACAAGACCTTATTTTGGATACCAACAACTTTGAACCTTCGACCTTGAACTTTGAGTTTGACCTACTTTTGAAAAACTTTAACATTGGCCATAACTTTTGAATGGTTGGTTTTAGGGTTTTCATATTTCAGATGTGTATTTCTTGTGAAAAGGCCTTTCCTTGGTACCATTAATTTTGATGTTGGCCTTGATGTTTGACTTACTTTTGAAAAACTTAAATCTTTCCATATCTTTTCAACAGTTGCTGCTAGGGCTTTCATATTTTACAGGTATATTCCTCGAGAGAAGACCTTACTTTGGGTACCAACATATTTGATTTGCATTTGAGAAAATTTAACCTTTGCTATAAGTTGCCATATGGGGGGCATCAGTGTTTCACAAACACATCTTGGTTTTTTTTCAAAAGAAAGAGTAAAAAAAAAGTTATATATATTTTTTCTTTTGTGATCAGCAAACTTCAATGAATGCAATTTTCATGGTGTGTATGTAAAGGTAACGATCATGAATTTAAACAAGAGACCCATGGACTACATTGCTCACCTGAGTTACTATGGCCCTGCTGTTCTCCATCACCAGAATTTTCCCTTGTATATAACAATTATTACATATTTTTTCTATGTAAAACTTTGATACCACACTGTGGCCCCAACTCCACCCCAGGGTCACGAATTGAACAAATTTGAATCTACCTGAGAATTCTAGCATATAAATATGAGTAATTTTGGCTTCCTTCTTCTTGAGTAAAAGATTTTTAAAAGATCCTATATATTCCTATGTAAAACTTTGGTCACCCATTGTGGCCCCACTCTTCCCCTGGGGGTCATGATCTGAATCTACACTAACTGGGTATGCTTCCATATAAATATCACTAATCAGGGCTTTGCTTTTTTGAGAATAAAATTAAAAAAAAAAAATTCCCCTATATATTCCTATGTAAAACTTTGATTGCCCATATTGTGGCCTTAACTTTCTCCTGGGGGTCATGATTTGAAGAAAATTCAATCTACATTACCTGAGGAGGCTTCTGTTTAAAATGAAATATATGGAGATACGAACAGTATTCAAGCTCAAAAGTCCATTTAAACAGTACAAATCAGGAGCAGAGCAAACGCAGACCTCTAAAACATCAGAGGTGGGATCAGGTGCCATGGAAGACTGAGCATCCCCTGCCGACCGGTCACACCTGCCGTGTGCTCCTTGTCATGATCGGGAAATAACGGAAAAATCCGTAGACGATTCAGTGTGTAAATAATGTCCGAACATTAGTATGGAAAACGTCAGTCAGCATTTGACTTAATGATACATTGTATTTGCTGACAAGGTCATTGTAATGATGACTTGAAACGAGACTGCTGATATTCTTGTTTCATCAACTTGTTTGTCAATAACTTACCTCGTTTTAGAAATTGTTCAGACGTAGAGCATGCTCTTACTTATCGAATCAACTATTGCTGCATTAGTAAGGGATGTTCTTGATTGAAAAGTTAAAATCATCACCTTTATCATAAAGCTTAGTTGTTAGGTAGTTTACCATTAACGTCTTTTTCTAGTAAAATATCCAAAAATGTCTAATCTTGGCTTTACTGTTCTTGAGAAGATTTTTAAATATTCTTCTTATATATTCCTATGTAAAACTTTGATGGTCCATTGTGGCCCCATCCTACCCAGAGGTTATAATTTAAATAAACTTTAAATTACACTACCTGAGAATGCTTCCAAATAAATGTGAATAATCAGAACTTTACTGTTCTTCAAAAGAAGATTTTTAAAGATTTATCCTATATATGTCTATGTAAAACTGTGATTGCCTATTGTGGACCGTCTTAGTTCCGGGGTTCATGATTTGAACAAACTTAGAATCTGTCCTGAAGCTTTCATATAAGTTTCATCTGTTTTGGCCCATTGGTTACATGTACTGAGAAGACGATTTTTAAATGATGCCATAAAATTCTCACTAATTCTTAATTATCTCCCCTTGAAATAGGGCGTGACCCTTCATTTGAACAAATTAAATTCCCTTCACCCAAGGACGCTTTATGGCTAGATTTGTTGAAAGAACGAGGATGCTTTTTATTGGCATTCGGCAGAAATCTGGGCGCACTTTAGAAGTGAAAATTCTTCATTGTTCTGTCACATGAAGTTTTAGCATTCTTTTGATGTATCGGGTTCCTGTGAAATAGGAAAGGGAAATATTTTCCCGATATTGTGCTTTGATTTGTTAAAAAACAAGATGTGTTTGTGAAACACTGATGCCCCCGTATGGCAACTTAAAGCAAAGGTTAAACTTTCTGAAATACAAATACAATATGTTGGTACCCAAAGTAAGGTCTTGTCTAGAGGAATATACTAGGGATGGGTATCGCCAAAAATTTCGTATCGCGATATATCACGATTTCTCTCAAAAATATCACGATAATATCATGATATTTTTACAAGCAATTTTACAAGGATTTTAGATGAATATTCATAATTTTTTCCGAAAAATATGCTGGAAAAACATAACTTCACTTTTTTTTAATTTACGTAATATCAAGCAATTTTGGATACTAAGATGTCGTTCTCTTGCCGTTATCAACATTCTTTACACTTCCTTTAATTGTAATATGAAAGAGTGAACAAAAAATGAATAATTTCTGGAATTTTTGACTATGTACTACTAAATACCGGTATTTTAGTCTCCGTATCACGATATGTATCACACAATTAAAATCACGATATACCGGTATACCGATAAAGTCGCACATCCCTAGAATATACCTGTAAAATATGAAAGCCCTAGCAGCAACCATTGAATAGATATGGAAAAGGTTAACGTTTTTTCAAAAGTATGTCAAAAATTAAGGTCAAATGGTCAAAATTAATGGTGCCCAAGAAAAGGCCTTCTCCCAAGAAATATACAGATGAAATAAGAAAGTCGAAGCACCAATCGTTCAAAAGTTATGACCAAAGTTAAAGTTTTCCAAAAGTAGGTCAAACTCCAAAGTCAAGGGTCAAAGTTGTTGGTATCTAAAGAAAGGTCTTGTCACAAGAATTACATATGTGAATTATGAAATCCCTAGCACCAACCGTTTAAAAGTTATGGCCAAAGTTAAAGTTTTTCAAAAGTAGGTCAAACTCCAAGGTCAAAAGGTCAAAGTTGTTGGTATCCAAAGAAAGGTCTTGTCACAAGGATTACATATGTAAATTATGGAAACCCTAGCATCAACCGTTCAAAAGTTATAGCCAAGGTTAAAGTTTTTCAAAAGTAGGTCAAACTCCAAGGTCAAAAGGTCAAAGTTGATGGTATCCAAAGAAAGGTCTTGTCATAAGGATTACATATATTAAGTATGAAAGCCCTAGCACCAACTGTTCAAAAGTTATGGCAAAGGTTAAAGTTTTTCAAAAGTAGGTCAAACTCCTAGGTCAAGGTCAAAGTTGTTGATATCCAAAGGAAGATCTTGTCACAAGGATTACACATGTGAAGTATGAAAGCCCCAGCAACAATTGTTCAAAAGTTATGGCCAAGGTTAAAGTTTGGTAAAATTTTGCAAAACTGGGTCAAATAAGGTGATATCCAAAGAAAGGTCTTGTCACAAGGAACACACATGTGAAATATGAAAGCCATAGCTCCAACAAATCAAAAGTTATCGGCAAGGTTAAAGTTTTTGCGGACAAACAGACAGACAGACGGACGGACAGGGCAAAAACTATATACCCCCGAATCTTCGATTACGGTGGCATAAATATACTTAAAAAAGATGTGTTTGTGAAACACTGATATCCCCGTACGGCAATTTATAGTGAAGGTGAAACTTTCCCAAGTGCAAATCAAATATGTTGGCACCCAAAGGAAGGTCTTGTCTCGAGGAATATACCTATGAAATATGAAAGCCCGAGCAGCAATCATTGAATAGATATGGACAAGATTAAAGTTTTTTCAAAAGTAAGTCAAATATCAAGGTCAAGGTCAAATTGTCAAAATTAATGGTACCCAAGGAAAGGCCTTTTCACAAGAAATACACATGTGAAATATGAAAGCCCTAGCTCCAACCGTTCACAAGTTATGGCCAAGGTTAAAGTTTTTCAAAAGTAGGTCAACCTCCAAGGTCAAGGTCAAAGTTGTTGGTATCCAAAGTAAGGTCTTGTCATAAGGACTACATATGAGAAGTATTAAAGTCTAAGCACCAACTATTCAAAAGTTATGGCTAAGGTTAAAGTTTTCCAAAAGTAGGTCAAACTCAAAGGTCAATGGGCTATAATTGTTTGTATCTTAAGAAAGGTACTGTCACAAGAATTACACATGTGATATATG